AGTAAATAAAACCTTATTATAAAATAACCACACACAAAACCATGGATTACCAATGGCATAAAATTGAACCGACGAGATCCTTAACAGTTTAAGAAAATAAATACTGTAAATACGCGTTGGAAAAGGAACTTTAAAACTATGATAATGTGTTTCAAATTAAAAAAGTATTTGTTTTAAATACTCGTAAATTTTCATAAATTTTTACAAACTACTAAAATAACGCCTGACACTTTTTATGTTGCAAGCCGGCGTCCACGCGCATTTGCGTGTCGAATTTGACTGAATACATGTTTTGAATAAAATGTTTTTGTACCAAGACGGTAAATTACATTGAACCGTGGTGCATGACTTTCGAATTTTTTTACGGGGACAGGGATGTATTCACATGTGAACTGATTGTAGTTCATTGTTAGGTACGTCACCAATTCGATCCGCTTGTAAATTTATATAGAACCTAACTCAGGTCTTTAAAAGCGAGATAACAAATGTTATAAGTATTATTATACTTCATATTCATGTGTTACGTTGAAGTTTCAAAGAGTTACCTCCAGAGCTTCCACGACGACTATTTTTTGATACACAATCGCAATAAAAACACGTGTTAAGAGTCTATTAGATACTACCTGAAATGGCCTTGGTTGATTACGCATAACAGTGAAAATGTTGAATCAATCAGCGGACCACCCGTGCCGGACTGCGTTGCCACAGTTGGACGGTCAGTTCAATACCGTCCCGCACTAAAAAGTTTGGCAATTCGTTCTTATGCCGAACCATCAAATTGTGGAACCAACTCCCGGCGCATGTATTCCCTCCCCTCTATAACATCGGGTCCTTCAAACGTAGTGTGAAGAAGCATTTGGCCAGACCGGCAAAATGATAGTGACGGAGTGAAGATATTTGTGTTTTCCATCCGTTACTCTCATCTCTGGACTGTATTCGCACTTTCCATCAGGCGCGGTGCAGTCATTTTGCCGAGTCACAATTAAAAAAAAAAAAAAAAAAATCACTTTGGAAAAATATAAAGTAAAATCGAAGATAAATTATACACTAGTAATAATCGGTGTGAAAATTCGATTCCTAAAAATAATCATGATAGAAAAAAACAAAAACTTACCTCGAAATTTTACAAGAATTCCGCTGTATTCATTAGCTACTTTATATATACCATTGATTATTTTATATCAACTGACCTAAATAGAACACGTATATACTATACGATATTGACTTACAAATAAATGGACGACGGGTCTAATACAAAAACCACGAAAAATATGTCCCAAGGCAACATATTTAAACGTATTGACATGTCAAGGAATATGAAAAAGCTAAAACGTTGAATTTAAATTGTAATGTCATCGCAGTACTGTCTAATTTTGCTTGCTTCGCTGTCAGTCGAACAAACGAAGACTAGAGCGTGAATGACGCTCTGTATACGATTTTAACGCTCTATAAGTTCGGGCACTTTTTAGCGCGGACCCGACGTCCATATAATTGTAAGTCAAAATACGATATACATTTTTCAAATGGTTCTAATTTTGCTTGTAAAAAAATACATTCTGAAATAAAACCAGTGTCCCTACCGCTTGACCCAAGCAAAATGAACCGTATTAGTATGGGAAAAATTTGAATATGACCTAAGGTAAGTATAGACTCTTACCGCGTCGAAAACGCGTGCTCATGTGAACGGTAGTAAAGCTAATCATTCGAATGGGCAAATTATTCATTCAAATCGAATCCAAGCTAGCCTCCTTTTACCATCGGACATCCTGACGTACGGCGGAATATCATCCTTACTTGGTCGAAATTACCCTCAGGCGTCAGGAATGGAATTCCCTGCCTACGACTGTGTTTTCGAACTCATACAACCCGGGTATCTCTAAGGTGCGACTGAATAGGCATTTTCTGGGCGAGCTCGTTCCGTCGTAGATCCTATCGACACATCCGTAGAACAAAGATCTATGTGTAAGACTACTTGTTCTCAGGACATAAAACATTTCGTTCGTTCTTCTTCGCTTTGGATGTCAGATCGACCGTTGTTCGATTTTATATTTCCGAAACGAAATAAGATTTATAAATTCTCATACACATAGGCCTTAGTTTGAATAACGAAATTATTCTCGTAACGTACTTATACTCTTTTCGCTATATAATCACATCGGACTCTGTTCTTCGGATAAGTCGCTATCTTTGCTCCAGAGCTAGGTAGTGGAGTAAGTCCGATATGTCAAAAGGGGCTAGGTGATCACGAGTATCGTTGTCTATGGAATCTATGGATTACTAATGATTGAACATTTAGATAAGTCGAATACGAAAATTAGTATTACTAATTTGTCATTCGAATGACAGTATTAGTAATTACTAACGAGTCGAGTCGGCAAACCTATGATCTCAAAGAGCTTGTCAACAAGTTCCCGGCGCGGCGTTAAATGAGTGTCATCTACGGTGATTTACGTACAAAATTCTCCGTTATTCGCTCAAAGTTACGCGATAAATGTCTACCGCTGAGTGTATCGCCGACAGTGCAAGAAACAAGTCTTTTATTTCATTACAACGCTTGTACAATCCCGGCATTTGGTTCCGCAAGACTGCACACGGCGGGCAATCTTATTTTCACCTCTCTGAGCGCGTGCTTAGGTTCCGTTTACCTCATAGAAAGCGCCTGGTGTCGTTAGTTAGGTTTAGTGGGCCAAATACCATAGGTATTTTCGATTTTGTATGAGAGTGATATATCTGTTACGTAGTACCTATTCATTAATCTGTGGCGAAACGCCCGTTGAACGCTCGTCATGTGAACATACTCAATTAAGTATTTAATTAAGTAACTAATTAAGTCTTGAAACAAACTTGTTGTTTATGTAGTTAGTAATAATAATATAATCTTGCGAGGTAGTCAATATTTTAAAAATAACCCAGTATATTTAATTTTTAAACCTGAGTCCGTCTCTGTTCTCAATGAGCGTTATTATTGAAGGAAAACAAGTCGATTTAAAGGCACGAAAACTCGTGTCACCGCATGGAACGAAAATTGGGGACAATACTTTTTGAACTTCATTTTGATGAGATTATAATCAAGACATCATTGTCTCGCGGTCGATTTCCGGCTAAATCAATTTAGGATCGAATTGGAAACCAAATGCTGATAGACTGACCAACGCAGCAGTTTATGGATTCCCATGGAGACTTTCGCTTCCACATTTATATGAACGGCTGTGGAGTGGAACCACTTTTTTATGGACCTCATAAAAAAGCTTTAAGTCTATAGGCTATAGAGTGAGCAAAACTTGGCATTTCTCTACGTGATCGAATCAGAAATGAGGAGGTCCGTAGAAGAACGACAGCTCAAAGGGTTAGCAAGTTGAAGTGGCAGTGTGCCGGGCACATAGGTCGTAGAAGTGATGGCTGTTGGGGCAGAAAGGTTCTAGAATGCAGACCACGAACCGGAAGGCGTTCAGTGGGACGACCACCTAACTAGATGGACGGATGACGTAGTAAGGGCAGCGGGTAACCGATGGAAGCACGCCGCGTCCGATCGACTAGTCTGGAAATCTTTGGGGGAGGGCTATGTTCAGCAGTGGACGTCTTCCGGCTGATATGACAATGTGGAGTGGAATACCCTGCGCAGACTTGTTCCCTGAACGGTATAACTTGGGCCTTTTCAAGGCGAGAGTGAATAGGCATTATTATGGCGTGCATGCTACATTGTCGACATCATCATTACTTTCAACCAGGTGAAATGGTGGTTAAATGCGCACTCATACTTTATTTTTAAAAACTAGTCCTAGATACTGACACTATTACTTACCACAAAAAAAACAAATTATTGATCACACACAAGATCCATAACGGTACATAAATAATTTAAAACTAATATGGACAAAGGAGGCTTTGTCGATAAGAGCGATGTCTGCTGAACAACACATTTGTGACAGAGGAAAACTAAACAGAGTGCGAGACGTAGTGTGTTACCACTTACCATTACCATTATTTTGTCTGTAGGTTTGTCACAGTCTGATTTCCATCGTGAATATTTTTAAAACATATGAGCTATCAGTTACTGTTAGATTTGGAAGTTAAATTTTAATATTGGCAGTTTTGATGTTTCTTTCATTTATTTAACTTAAAAGTGAGTATGTAGTCTGTAGTAGTGTTTTGGAAGTTTAGATTTCAAATTAAGGATTGTTTTTAGAAATATGTGTACGATTTTTACACATCTTCCGGTTTTCAGTGTACACGGCTAGGGGATATTATTCCACGTCTTTGACATGTAAAATATATTTACTATATTATTGTTTTACCTTCTCAAACTCAGGTATTTCTTCCTTTTCCTCCTTTTTCTTTCCTTTCTTTTTGCCTTTTGTAGGCTTTTCTTCTTTCGGTTGTTCCGGTTCTTCTTCCTTGATCTCTTCTAAAAAAGTTAAGAAAAAAAATTACTTAGTACAGTTTAAAGTAAATTATCGAGTTATTTTGATAATTAAAAGTTTGAGACTTTGAAACGTTTGTAGATTTCGGCATTAATATTCGTGATATCCATAAAAAATATTTTTCTCATGATTATATATCACTTGAGTCAAATTTACAAAAATCGAGCCAAATTTACACAAATTGAGGCAAATTTACATTTGGTTAAACTTGTGTAAATGTGGCAAATGGAGCTAATTGCTTGATCCCCAAGTTTGCTGAGTCTGGGACAAGTGTCTGGAACCACATATAAGACAATTTCGCATACTAGGTACGCGAGGGTCTCCTTAATTGGGAAGCACTGCAATATTCGTTAGTTCTTTCAAACTTACAAGGGCTCATAAACCTTTAAATACTCTTAAGAGTAAACCCGAATAAAAAGGTTTAAACTTTTTTTTAACCTTTGCTGTTTATTCTGGAACTTACCTATAGGTAAAGATTCTTCAGAAAACTGGACTTCAACCACTTTGACATCCTCTTCTTCTAATTCCTGAAAAAATGGTAATGGGAAATAATTACTATGTTGTGTATTAAGCATTTTCCAATACATAATGGTTGTCACCATTATGTATTGAAAAATGCTAAATGTTTATATCACTCTAGTTGTACAATTTCTACACTCACATTAGGGTCAACAGTCTTGTTTTTATACAAAAACGTTTTGCATATTTAGTCATTTAGGTATGAATCTTAGAGTTTCATTGGCAACATTACAAATATAATAAGTTTGAGTTTATTACGTTAGCTATTTATACCTATAAATTCTTTGTCACATTTTCTTATACATACGTATGGAAATGTCAGCATTAGCAGTCTTACTTATAAATACTATTTAATAGGAAATGAAACTATTTTTCCGGATTTAAATCGCGTATATAAGTTTTTACAAACAAACCGACGTTTCGGGCCCTTTACAGGCCCCATGGTCACGGTGGACTGAGGTGGTACAGTCTTCAACCAGTTATGTCTAACATTGATTTTGAGACTTCGTGTAAACAAGCCTGCAGTTTGCGAGCATGTCATGGATAAACCTACACATTCAATGAAGTTTGAAAAACCCCAGGCCTTGCAAAAGAAGTCCGTTATCTACCCAGGATGCTGCGAGAGGCCATTGAAATTAAAAAACATCCTAATTTCAACAGGGACTCCGTACCACCAGTTTGGGATCCAGTATTTCCTCTAATGAAAAATCCCAAACAGACATAAGACTGCAGTACTAATTGATATGTTTTAGTTTATTCTAATTTCTATTAATAATTAATAATAAATTGAACTTAAAAATTCATTCGATAAAATAATTTGTAAAACTTAATATAGCGTAAATTGGAATATTTTCTTTGTAAAATTAAAAATAAGATATTTAATTAATAGCTGTTGTAACTATAGTGGAAAAATAGGGTGGTTTGCATCAATGTTAGACATAACTGGTTGAAGACTGTACCACCTCAGTCAACCGTGACCATGGGACCTGTAAAGGGCCCGAAACGTTGGTTTGTTTGAAAAAACAAATATACGCGATTTAAATCCGGAGAAATAGTTTCATTTCCTATGTGTAACAATCGCGAAAACCTAAGAACTCAATACTATTTAACTTTGAATAACGCTTTAAGCAATGTTTAAACGAATTATTACATTATAAATATTGATTGGTGCTAAATGATTGATTAATATGTTTTTTAAATAGTGTCAACTTAAATATCATAGAGACCTTGTTTAACTCGCTAACTTGCAAGATGGCTGGCATTAATCAGCTGTTAGCAGGTTAGAAAATGGCAATGAGTTAAGCAGATTTGTTTTAACTGTTATTGTGAGAAAGGTCTCGTCCCACTCACAAATTTACAATACTTATTTATCGAGACAAACATCGTCCTTAAATCAATTTTTAGATTTTCGCTCCAAATGTCAAATTACAGCCATGTGATAGCATTTTTTTTTCTGCTTTTTTGGCTTTCTGTAGCTATTAATCTCCTACTGTTGCCACGGTAATTATTTTTTCTCATCTTTTTATATAGGTAATAGAAAGTTAAGTAGGTAGTGTTTAAAATCTTAAATAACGCTTAACTAAATAATAATTAAAGGGTTGTTTAGTGGTTTTTTATAAGTAATGATGTTAGTGTTTTAAATGTCATAACTTGTTTGTATAGCAAATATAATGTGACAGCCTAAACTAACAAAAACTTTTCGAGGGCGAAAATGTCAAACGCTATAGTAAGAATTAGGGTTAAATTATGCTCCCTGCGGTACTCTACGATTTAAAATCTTTTAGTATTTTGGAGCTTGAAGGAAGTTGTTAATTGAGATATCGAAAAACAAATTAAAAAGAAAGCAAAATTGTTCCGTCAAATGTAATAAGAATTGTGTTGTATTTACATATTGAAGCACATAAACCAACAGTCGCGCGTTAATATTTCAGTTCAAAAAACCGACCTTTGCACAACACGAATACACTAAAGTATTTGTATGAAAACAAGACTTCATTAAGACTGTTGCAAGTTGTCACACTGTAATTAAAACTATAATTATTGGTCAGTTTGATAATCACGTACATTGTAGCGATACGATTGGCCCATTTGAACTGTTGTGTGTGACGTTGAGACCACGCCATTGGTTACTGAATTTACTACTACATTATTGACTAGGTAAATAAATACCATGGAGAAGAGGAACCAAAAAATGAGTTTGTTTAGTTATAATGACAACTTACTCCCTTCTTCTTCTTTTTCTTCTTTTTAGGCTCTGGGAACAACATAATGAAATCAATAATATCAGAGGAAGAACTTTGTTCAAATTCACTGAAGATCACAAGAACCAATAAAAACTAGTGTTATATTTCTTTGGCTCAATAAGCAGCCACCTCTACGCCCCTATCTATTGTCTTTAGCAAGTTTTCGCGGGTGCAGCTGGTCGGACACAGTCATCGAGTATATAACCAGAAATAGAGACGAAATGTCATTTCATTTGTTTAAAAACTATTCTGCTATATCATTACTGTGACAACTGCGCTCCGATTGGCCAGCCTGAATTCGAAATTTATTACAATAAATACATAATATTTTTGGAATATACGGAGACGTACACACAGGTCAGTTGTTGACCTGTCTTTATTTCAATGCAAATGTGAGTTGATATTTATAAGTGATGTATCACTGATGAGTTACCAGGAATGTGTAGCCCTTATTTCGTCTCTATTACTGGTTATATACTCGATGGACACAGTAGCCATGAGAGCAAGTGTGATATACTTTGTTAGGGGTCCGCAAGCATAATGGTTTTGTGTCGTGTCGATATATACCGCAGTTCAATTAAATTGTTATTCTCTGAACCTTTCCAGTAAAGCTAGTTTCCATTAATATTAGTAGAGTACGGCACCCTTTAAAAGGGTGAACAAAAAGTAAAAGGTGGAAAAGAGTGACCTGACTTGACCTCCTCTTTTATTCATGACATACTAATTGGACAACTTGGGTTCAGTTGGAAAGCGTGTCAGGATGCTTATGTATCCCCCCGAAGGGGTTCCCGCCTTGTCGTGGCGGGGGGGCTCTAGTAGCCGTGGTCGATTTCATCCCACGGTGAAGCTAAGAGGAACCCACGGGGCCGGCCGATGGTGCTAGGCTGGCCCGAGGAGGAGGGCGTTCCGCGCGGGGCTCGTTTGGCCAGCGGGACCGCGCGGATGCGCGAGGAGGAGGGTCGCGGGGGGAGAGACGTGTCGGTGTGTCGTTGCCGCTCGTCCTGTTCTCCGCGACCCTAGCGGGGCTGCACCGCTTTCAATGATGCAGTGGCGGCGGGGCCGCGGGGGAATAGACGTGTCGGTGTGTTGTTGCCGCTCGTCCTATCCTCCGCGGTCGAACGTGGGCGGTTGGCCCGTGGTGGGCGCTCCAAGGGACTCTCTTCGGAGAGTCCGCGCGGAAGCGCGTTAGGTGTTGCGGCGGAGCCTGCCATCAGATCCGCCGCGGGGGCTGGGGGAGCAGCCACTGAACTTCACAGTTGAGTGGATGCTGTCCTGGCCCCCCATGGCCCCTGGGTAGCGGACTCGGGGGAGTTCGTTGCCCAGCATAAAGGGGCCCGGGATGGAAGGCTCGTCTGGTGTTCGGCGAACCTTACATTCGGAGTCGGGGGACCGATGTGTCTCCCTTCTCGAGGAGGGGCTGCGCAGGGCGCGGTCAGTCGCTGGTGGGGGCGCGGACGAATGCAACAGCGTACCCGTACCCCCACCTACAGCGGAGAGGAGGAACACTCCGGGGGTTTAGTGCGGTCGGGCCGCTCCCCTTCAGGGTTCAGCCCAGTCCCACATAACCCCGGCTCTGCCCCCGCGGGGCCGGGGTATCTGTAAGCGGATTCCCCCGGATTTAAAAAAAAAATGCTTATGTATAATGTCCTACAGGATTCTCATGTGGGGTATAGCGGCAGACATTCCAACCATAATTGTATTACAAAAACGAGCGATTGTTCTGTGTACCGTTTAGGTTTAGGTGTAGGTAGGTTCTCGGGCTTCTCTCAGAGAAAAGTTTAAGGAGACTGGTATTACGACTGTGGCATCACAGTACATTTACTTCAAATATTTTAAATGTGCGTAAAAATAGAACATAATTTCAATACGAAAAAAGTCATCCATAATATTAATCTTAGAGCTAAGTCCAAACTCATGGTACCACGATTTCGTTTAACCAAGGTAAACGACTTTTTTATGGCGAACTGTATACATTTCTACAATAAGATTCCAGAGCATATATTAAGATTATAATTTCATAAGTTTAAAAAGTACATTAAAAATATTTTGATTGAAAAGTCATATTACAAAATCGAAGACTACGTGTTAGATAAAGATGTACCCAGATTCCACACAAATTTGATTCAAAGTGTATTCCATAGCTTTTAAGTTTATTTGTAAAGAGCAATCCCTAGAGTTTCTTGCTCGTTCTTCTCAGGGAAGTCAGCGTAGTGAACGAGCAGTAGCTTAAATGTGATGTTTACAAGTGTAAATTAATTTTACCATTTAATCATAATAAATGATTTTGAATTTGACTTTGACCATGGGTGAGTTGGTTTTAGAACAGGCGAAGCTGCACAGCTTTGAACACCGCCGTAAAGTTGCTTGCCTATCGATTTTCTACAGGATATATCACGGCGGGTGTGCGACGGAAGGAAAGGAGGGGAGGGAAGAGAGAGCGACTTTTCAAAACCAGAATGCTGTAATGCTCACATTACAATTTGGGGGCAGAAATGGGTTACAGTATTTTAACACCCCATATGCGCCACACGCCCTGCTCCATAGGTCAAGCCGGTATTGTTCCTAGCTTTACTAATATTTGTTATTTTAAGTTTTTTTTATTTATTGAATGTTACAAATCGAAATGTTACGAAAAGACCAGAGGCACATAGAAAAATTTCTAATGTCTGCTAGTTTATTCCTTAGCTTATTTGGCAGAGCGTCTGGCATGGATCGCTTGAGGGCGCATCGAATCCACCCGGGTACAATAAATTTTTCTTAGTGTTTTGATCTTTTTTATATAATAATTAATCACTAACTTTTACCAATTTTTTTATATCAGTCCGTAGCAGCGTAATTTAAGCGTAAAAAATTAAAGAATATTCTAGATGTTATCCGATATCTTTCTTTGTGGCCGTCGTGTTCCACCATTGCCTTGCACTCTAGGGTAGTGTTACTTAAGTGTGTATGTAATCATAGTACAGCGAATTCAAAGGGTATTACATAAGCGTTTAGGTTTATTTAAAAACATCAGCCCCTACATCTGCTCGTTCTTCTCAGGGAAGTCAGCACAGTGAACGAGCAGCTTAAAAGTACGCTTTCAAGTGTATATCTATGGAGTAAATGATTATTTGACTTTAATAGGGAGCTCTATCTGTTTCACGTACCTGCTTTCATTTAAAGAAATGACAAGAATACCGTAACAACTACATTCTCATTTCCTAAGGGTAGACAATACGTACACTTACCTACATGCTCAAATACACACACTGTTTTAAATTCATAAATTACAACAAGTAAAAAGGGCAATACGTCACAAAACTTAACGATGTATGCAGTGTATTGTCGTTTTCTTTGTTGCTAAGGGAGTAAGAAGTATTGACAAAATATTTCGATATAAAGATTTAGGTCAGGGGGTTGTAAACCCTAAAGCATGACAAAGAACACCTTTCTTAATGTACAAAGCGGCGGCAGATGTTTCTAATGTAAATTGATTACCGAGTTTGTCGGTGAGATTAGCAGTAGCAAAGGAAATAAACTTAATACCGCAAACACGTTGCAGGTTGAGGAACATCTGAATCTTTGCGAATTAAAGCTCTGAGTGGCATTGGAACTGTTATGGACAGGCGTGTCGCTTGCCACCAGGACCACGACGAACACGTCCCGTCATTTAGTATTATTAAAAACAAAAGCTCCGACTGCCCTACGAGGTTATGCAAATGTGTGCTTTCTTGACTTATATCGTACATTATCTAGTTTGTTGTTACTCAATTGATATAAAGATCATTATCCTATGTACAAACAATTTCATTATAAAAATTCGCACCCATTAATTTCCATGGCAATGCAAATTGACCAATACAGTTCTGTTTTTAATAATATTTTATGCAATCATTGCTTATTGAGAGTTTTTAAAGTTGAGCACCGTGTTTAGGTCACGAGACTTTCCCGTGGCCTAAGTAATAGGTGCGAGATTTTAAGGCCTAATTATGTAATGATTGCGTACAATATGTTTTCTACGAGTAAATAAAATAATGAAACAGGATCAATATTGATGTACATATTAAACAAAAGCAAAATTTTTTTTTGTGTAAAGAAATTTGATCCAGAACTAAAAAGAGCGCTTTTATGTTTATGAAATTATAGGACAGATTAAAGTACAAGAGCAGGAAAAATATGTTATGGATAAATAAATGTGATACGAGAGCGTTGCGGCGCGGAAGAACATGTATTCACAAAGGTAGAGAAAGGGATGCTTAGATGGTTCGGACATGTAGAAAGAATGAATGAAAGAAGATTGACGAAACAGATTTATAAGGCGAGTGTGAGCAGGCAAGTTGGCATGGGCCGACTATGGCGAACTTACCGTGATCAAATTGAGGCCATCCTAAAGAAAGGCCAGGTCAACAGTACCCTTAACGTTTGCGTTGATGAGGCGAAAGATGTGTGTCAGGATCGTAGGAAGTAGAAGACTGTTGTGTCTGCATACACCGATGGGAAAAAGGTGTGAAGTATATGTATGTATGGATAAATACCTTCCACAACGGGTAACTCAGGAAGCTCCTCAAAAGAAGCTGAGGTATAGGAGGTATCAGTGAACTGAATTTCTTCACGCTGCTCCTCTTCCTCCACGACAGGCTCAGGTTCAGGTTCTGCAAAGTGTATTGTGATCAAATTGCGCTGGAGCAGTCAAAAGGCATATTAGGGGATGAATACGGTTTATTAAACTTCACCCACTTTCCGTATTTAAATCAACAATCAGTCAACCGTGGCCATGGGACCTGTAAAGGGCTCGAAACGTTGGTTTGTTTGAAAAAACACATATGCGCGATTTAAATCCGGAATAACATTTTCATTTTCTAAGTTATAATTATTGTCTTGTTTCTTTAATGGTACGTAAATTCAACTTTCCGTCATTCTGCCAACAAAGCAAAGTTTTTGCAGGGAAAATAAAATGTTTTTCGTGTTTTTAGAATATAACATCGATAACCCAACAACAAAAATGGTGTTTGTTACATGGTTTTTGTCGGTCGAAGTCCGAAGTTGAACAATTCGAACAATATTCACAGGTACACAACAATGACTTCAAACTTATAACTCTCCTCTTTTTGCGGCGTGGATTAAAAACATCAAATTTATAAGAAGAAACACATACATACCTTGCATGAGTTCATCCTGAAAATAAACAGGAAAACATGTGATTAGATCTGTCTAATTTTTGGGTACTCATTGATCGGTATGAACGCCCTAGTGAAAACCTATGATCTAGCCCTTGAACGCCAATAGCGGGTTTTATTCTGACACTCTCTCGCGCGTGATACAGCAATTAGATTGAGCGCGTGTGTAAAGACGTTGGAAGGAAAAAGGTCTCCATTCCTTGAGAATATATTTTTATGAGTAGCATTAACGCAATAACTAGATACACTTTACACAATGCGGCATGAGTGAGAAAAATACTATAGTAGTATAGAATTTATACATAAAAGTCTAGAATCTAAGAGTTAATAGGGTTAGTACTTTGCACGCGCGCGAGTGTTGTAAAAATTTCATAGCGGTCTTACTAAAACCACCACGAAAATTACTACGTAAGTCTTAATTATTGACTCGTTAAATCAGCAGTTTAATCTTCAAATGAAATGTATAAATAATTTTAGTGCACTACATCGACGTACGTACGAGCCATGGAGCGAGCAATGCTCGGCATTTCTCTACGTGATCGAATCAAAATGAGGAGATCCGTAGAAGAACGAAAGTCACCTACATAGCCCAAAGGATTAGCAAGTTGAAGAGGCAGTGGGCAGAGCACATAGGTCGTAGAACTGACGGCCGTTGGAGCAGAAAGGTTCTCGAATGGAGATCACAAACCGGAAGGCATTCAGTGGTACAGCCTTCTACTAGATAGACGGATTACCAGCATGCTGATTTTGATTCAATTTGGAATCGACCCGATCGGGTAGTCTCGAGATCAGACGAGTTTCTGAGAAGAAGAACCTGATTCCTACTATATCTTTCTAATTTGTGAGTTAAAGCAACTATTGTTCCGATTTGAAATGTCAAAAGTTACCGATCGGCCAGTTGTGAATCGCAATTACGCGTATTGACTCGGAAAAGACGCAGTTTCCGATCGGGAGAGGCAATCAAAATCAAGCTGCTGGCTTAGAATAATAACGCATAGAAACCTAGTCCGCACACGCTAAGTGAGGCAAATTGAAGCGCGCCCAAAGGGCCTACACGTGCGGGCAGGCCTTCAGTGCTCAAGGTCAACTTGCACCGCGAACAGCTCAAGAATTTTAGCTAAAAATGACGAAATGTGCGGCAAATGAGTGTAAAAATACGTCAGACAAACATAAAATAGATACTGACATCACATTCCACAAGGAAGTAACGCGTTTCAACTTGTATTTTTATATAAATATTCACTAAAACCGAAAATTACTACTAAAACTAGCCTACATGAATTTGATTTTTGCCTCACTTGTGACAGTTCCTTTGATATGAAACTATCATTCTATGCGTTATTATTCTAAGGCTGCTAGTAAGGGCGGCGGGTAACCGATGAATGCACGTCGCGTCCGATCGGCTGGCCTGGGAATCTTTGGGGGAGGCCTACGTTCAGCAGTGGACGTCTTCTGACTCATATGATGATGACTACATCGACGTGCCATTGAAGAGCAGACCAAAAAATTGCAATGGCAGTTGAGTAGCTCGATGGTTAACCACACTCTAGCTTTTTGCAGAATATCAAACGTACAAAATCCAGCCATTGATACTATCGACACTTAGCTGAGGTGATTTAAAATTAGCAGACTTGGGAGCCAGGTCATTCGTGATTTACTTATATTACATACCTTTTTCTTTTTGCCTTTTTCTTTCTTCGGCGCCATTTTGTGAACAAAAATATGTATAGAAGAAAGAAACAAAGATTCAACGAATTTTTAATATCACGGCAATGAGTTTTAAAAAATAAATTTGTTTGTTTGGAATAGATAAACAAATCGGCAGTTTGTTGACAAAATTTTGACTGATCATCCACGATTAACTATTATTTTTGTCAAAATTTTAAATTGAGAATTTTACTAACTTTTTTTAATTAGCGACGCGTTCAGTATTTACGATTATATTTCAATCAACTATTTTTTTTTAAATATACAATCGTAGAGACCAGATGTCCACTGCTGAACATAGGTCCGCGACCTATAGCGAAAGTAAAAGATGAGCTCGGTCCACATGTATTTATTAGTTTTTTTTATAACATCCAGAATTTCAAAAACCTTTCCCACGCTAGCGTGAAAAAAACGCATTTGCGCGCAGATTTCTAATGAGAAAGAAAGCCTTTCAGAGCTAGTGAGGTGAAAAGAAAATTATTGTTTTTTTTTTATAATATTAAGTGACGGGCCGAACAAGTTGCAACAGTTGCAGTGCCAGGGTCCAGGGCCTATACACATATATATTATATGTATATGTGTATAGGCATATTACGTGAAGTTGAGTTTTACATGACGATTAATAAGCACGTCCGCTAGTTTCGAGAATTTTGATGGACAGGCGCGCTGCAAATATGCTAATTTTCTTGAAATCATTGGTCATTGTAATTTCTTTGAGACTCTACTGAGAACATATTGCAATTATGAGAATAATTGTTATTCTCATAAAATCTAATGCAATGGCTGTTGAATTTCAATAGAAAGTCAGTGGAAAGGCGTTGATGGCATTCATTCATTAAATTACCACGATGGATGTTGCCCATCGAGTATATAATCAGAACTTCTATTTCTGATGGCAACTCATCAGGCAAATGGGCCTTATATCACTTTTAAATATCAACTCACGTTTGCGCTGAAATCACAAATTACAAAACTGAAATAGTACAGCGCCAACAACTGACCTGTATGTACGTCTCCGTATATTCCAAAAATATTCCGTATTTATTGTAATAAAGATAGATATCTCTAACTATGGGGGCTGTTCCATTCGGTGGTGCGGGAAAAACAGCACAACATCTAATTACAAAACAAACGGAATCATATTTCATCGGTAATTCAATATGTAATTTAATTAAATTTTTATTGAATTGATATTCAAATTATTTTTTTTTTTTTGTGAAATTACTCCACTAGTTTGTTATAATTATTAATACAAAGATCGAACACTCAGAAAAAACACTCAGAAAAATTCCTTCGATCCGGTCGGATTCGAACCGACGTCTTCTTGCATACCGTGCCAGACGCTATACCAACTAAGCCACGGAACGAACCAACGGACCTCACGAATCCTTCTATGTGCTTGCGTCGTGTCTTTGTACTTGGTTTTTCAACGGTTTTTTAGAATTTTTCTGAGTGTTCGATCTTTGTATTAATAATTACAATATGTAATTTTTCAATTTACTTCCATTTTAGCAACGCTCAAGTTAAACTGGTCGATTTGAAGTGAAACACCCGTCAATTGTTTCGAATTCGGGCTGGCCAATCCGAGCGCAGTTGTCACAGTAATGATATGGCAGAATAGTTTTCAAACAAATTAAATGACGTTTTGTCTCTATTTCTGGTTATATACTCGATGATCTTGCCTCACTAATCTGCCGTCCACTATAGTGCGCGCGGAACTAGCTGGCCGCGCCTTAGGTAGGGACAGGGGTGAGGGGGCGGGTTGCTTGCTGCTCGCAACGCACATGAGATTAGACAGTGACGACCAATCTCGAGATATCGTGAACAATAATTGTTCAGTTATTGAAAAGAAAAAATTAAAGCCAATTGAACTTTTACAAGTTTATATTATACCTATCTAATTAATTGCAATGTACAGTCGGCAGCACATCAGGCCGCCACAAACTGTCAGATTTCCTCAATTGATTTTCAACTTAAAGTCCAGGGAATAGAGTATAAAATTGATTGGATAAATTTGACATTTATGTATTGATGGACTTGCTGTTGTCCGTACATTGCAATTAAAAGTAAAATAAACCAAAAACAAATTAAATGAAATTCTTCCGACATATTTGAATCATTTATGAAATTATTATTAATTAATTAGTGTAACTAACACGACTTTGTATTTATAGATATGAAATTACTCTGACATATTATCCTCTGAATCACTTGATTCTGAATTGTCTGAACTTGAGTCAGAATCATCTTGTAAGTTTATAATGAATTCGTCCATCACAGTATCATATCTCATATCATGATTCCAGTATTCTTGTTCGTTTTTTTGTACGTGGTCGTCGCATTTTTGCCATTGTTCGGCAGAAAATTCAGAAAATAGTCTTGTTAGTATTGTAATTTTCTCGTCCAATGTAGCATTAATGTGATCTCTGGCCAGGCAATTTTTTATATTTGCCCACACAAGCTCGATTGGGTTGAGATCTGGATGATATGGAGGTAGTCTTAGAACAGTATGACCTGCACCTTTCAGAAGTTCATCAATCGTGTATATTTTTTCTGATTGGGTCGTATTAATCAAGCCCAAGAGTTCAGCTTTGACCATCGTGGGAGAAAAGGGCACGTTATGATTTTGCAACCAATTCTGCATATTAATTTTCATACAGGACATAGTCGGTTTCTTCTCAACTTGCACACAGTGGTAAGCTGCATTGTCCATAACTATGACTGAGTTAGGTGGAAGTTTAGGTATTAACTTTCGATCAACCCAGTTGTAAAAATTTGTAGAGTTCATGTCTCCATGATAGTCTCCTGTTTTTGAATCTGATTTAAAAATTAGCAGAGCATCGTCAACTAACCCGTTCCGACTACCAGCGTGAACTATTATTAAACGCCTTCCTTTGCCTATATCTGCATAAACACCAGGCTCCGACGAAGATTGCCAACATTTTTGGACATTATGACTTTGGTTAACGTAAGTTTCGTCCAAAAAGAATATATTTCGTTTGTCTTCTCTGAATTTTCTTATGGCCCTCAAATATTTCACTCGCCATTCAACAATGTTTGGTCTCTCTAATAAAAGGGATCTCTTCGATTTACATTTTTTAAATGAACATCCCAGTTTGTGCAAAAGTTCTCTTAAATAAGTTAATCCGCAATCTAAAATATTATCCTCTTTTAACACAGCATTTAGTTTTCGTAGACTTGGATTTGTTTTCTGTACCGTATAAAACTGATTTATTTTTCTTCTTATCACTCCTAAATCAAAATCATCAACTTGTATTTTCTTTTTTATCTCTTTTGGCCTTCGTGGAGAACTAAATTTTGCTTCCCCTGTATTTTGCAAGGATGTTTTACTTTGAGCAATCACTCTCCTTACATTTCGTTCTGATATCCCGGTTGCTTCTGCCACTAATTTATGAATATTCGCATCAGTTTTATATTCTAAACTATTGACATCGGCTTTCCGTTTTTTAAAAAACGTATGCACTTTAAATATTATTTCCTTAGATTGTCTTTTTATCGGCAGACTCATCTTGACATTGCAATCTCTTGTGCGTTTTGTCTAAACTAGCCAGAACTGTCAACGTGTGTTGCCGCCGCGAAGTCCGGCGCCGAACTGAGTATTCTGAGTAATGACATCAAGTGCCCCCGCCTCCCCGTCCCACCGCTCACATACCTAAGGCGCGGCCAGCTAGTTCCGCGCGCACTATAACTAAAATGCGGCTAACTGACAAGTGGTCAAACATCCGTTTTAAATAGTATAACGTAGAGCTCAAAATTCTCTATTTAAAAACAGTTAAAGTTATTTAACGAATCGGGCATATCGGAACTTACCCTAATTATATACATAGTTAAAATATCATTAAACAATATCAATATTCTAAAACTGCGTTATGATCTTTTATGACATCTCAACTCAAAAATTATTTTGTCACATTGCCGCATTTTAGTTAACGTACGGCTGTACGGCGGACAAGCCACGTGACAATTATAAATCGTATTAATTAATATTCGTAACAAAGCGAGCAGGCATACTTTGAAACAGGTGTTTGTCTCTATCTATTACACTTCGTGTGACAGGGACAGGCCATGCTGCGTAAACAAATGCAACGTGTATGACAACTTATGAATCAAATTCATGACACATTGACGTTCTGTATATAGATTGTTTTTATTATTATTTGGTTTTGCTTGCTGCCTGTACGGGGTATAATAGCACCATGTAACATGATTTGTGTTTTTGGGATATCAATCAGTTTTTATATAATATTTCACCACAAAATACTCGACACGACAAAAACATCGAATACTTTAAATAATAAAAGTTGCCACGGAAATTAAATAATGTACCATAGTCGGAGAATGACCGTGTTACGTTGTGTAATTTAATCAAATGAAAAAAAAAATCCTCATAAGGTGTTAAACGGAAAATACCACTTTTCTCGTGAGTATTTATTTATATTTTGGTGGCCCAGCTGATGCACTGTCGGCCCTGGATGAAAAGGTCCCTAGTTTGATTCCTGACAGGACCAGTTTCGGAAACGAGTATGAGTGTGAGAGAGTAGTAGCAGTAGAGCTGAAAGAGTTCGCCCAGGGAAGTACTGCCATCTTACTTATTTCTGCCGCAAACCGGTTTTGAAGAGTAGGGCTTGCTAGTGAAATTACAGGTACATGGGACTTTTCAACTTATGTCTCAGGGTGACAGGCGCAGTGACAGGGCCCCTCAGATCTTTGCGATTTAAAGCTTAGAGTGGCACTGCAACTGTTATGGACAGTCCCATATCTTTCTACATAAGTTTTGTTTATAGTGCCACTCCCTATCAACCTCTTGGTTATGCGGAAAACGCACTGTGACCTGTGCGAGCGAACCCGCAAAGGAACCATCTAAGTCAGGTCCTAATCCCGGATCAGCACGTTTGCACGACTTAACGGCTAATGCCCTAGCCGAGCCACCTCAGGTGCATGTACAGCACCCTCCCTGTTTTCCAGATAGGTATCGGAGGTGTAGGCATGCTCACTTACACCGCTGAGCCGCCGACCCTAAATCGACTATCAAATTTCCTCATTGGTGGCGGAGCTGTAGGGCACGTTCACTTCCCGACGCCGAATGAAAGGC